CCCCGTAATAACCCCTACATATACACACAGTAATAACAACCGCCATTCGCCACGAAGTGGTGTTGACGTCACCACGGCGCTTATGCCAGGCTATGTGCATGGGGCAGATCCAGGTGTCATGGGTCGACTGACAGATGACTGGCCAATGCACCACCTGTGCCTCCGACTGCGCCAACAAACAGTGTCCACACACAATGTTAACGCACACAATAATGTTCACGTTGTTGTTGTTGAGCTCACACACCCAAGGGGTCTCTGTTCAAGAGAGGGAGCCATAGAAATGGAATCTAAATAAACTTAAACTCTATCCCTGATCTCGCTCTGACGTCACCACTCATTAACTTGGCGTGATGCGCGAGGGGGAGGTGTCCCCACTAGTGACGTCATGTCACCGAGGTATTTACCCCCCCCCTTCCCCCCAACGTGATTTTGAGCGTGACGTCACGTCTGCCGACTTTCCGTTCCAGTAAAGTGCTTATTTGGGACGGGGACAGCAGGCAAGCACCATCACCTGACATGGGCCCCTCTCATTAACATAATTTATTCATACTCTTAGGTACCTCTCCATAATAAAGGCTCAGTCTTTTGTTATGCAGTCTATTCCTAGTCTTAAGCCTCACCTTACCATATTAATAAAAAGTGTGCCGTACTTGGCCCTTCCCCTCTTCAACCATTACATATACAGAGTGGTAGCTCTTGTAATCTCTCATTTACTTGATACAGCTGTCGTGGCTGTGACGGTTCCACCTGAAGACGGAAGCTTGTGTTGCCTCCGAAAAGTCGTGATTTTAATTTTATTTTACTTTTATTAATTTAAATTTTTACCTACGTGACTTTACCGAAAAATCTAAGAGTATGAATCCTTGCAGTCACAAAAGCTTCAAATCTAGAAATAATATATTCAGTTACCCTGCTGCTCGTTGGGGGAGGGGATTGTGTGAACCCCGCAAGTGACGTCATGTCACCTCCTGCTGCCGCATGACGTCACGAGTTGCCAGGGAGCTGCTGCTCCACGCACGCTCGCTCACTGAGATCCGAGGTGAGAAGTTTACATCGTGGTGGTCGTTGTTGTTGTGGTGATTGTTGTTGTAGTTGTTGTTGTGAACCCAGGTAGAGCCTCGCTCCTTCTCCCTCGTAGGGATATCAATTGAGTAGCAGCGAGTATGGAATCGATGTCCAGGTTGAAACATTACAACGCGGGGCCTAGCCATGCGGGGCCTTGCCTCCTGCCCTCGCCTGATTGCATTTGCTTTAATTCTCTGCTTAAGTTTAATTTGTCTTCACCTGGCTCACTACTTTGAAACTTTGTTTTTACTTTAAATATTTCTACGTTTTTTTTATTTTACCAGGCATAGCCCACTTGAGCTACACCGCTCGTTTTCAGAAGTGACCTGCCCACAACACAGTGGGCTGATCAACGTGTGGAAATGTTTATCGGTCAAATACTCTAAACGCGTGGTGATGTTGACTCTAAATGTGCAGGGAAAACCGCAGGATCCGGAGGAAAATCCACGCGACCACAGAGAGAGAGGGACACGCAAACTCCAAATATACAGCCATAATACAGGTTTGTTTGGGATTGATCGCGTAAATAAATCAATGTGCCGTTCACCCCGCCACCACCCGACACAGCCAATTAGTAAGGGTTTGTCACGTAAACAGAACGTGGGCAGTGCGTCACTAGTACAGCACTAATGTGTAGTGTATAGTTGTGTATAGTAAAGTGTAGTGTATAGTTGTGTAAAGTGTAGTGTATAGTTGTGTATAGTGTAGTGTACTAGTACAGCAGATCAGTGTGTTGGAGAGCCAAGCCACAACATTTACAATCTAAGTACAACGTTTTGACAGTAATTCCAACCAGCTTCATCAGACGACAGCCAAATGTTGTGGCTTGGCTCTGTGGGAATAGAAATCGGCTCGCTGGGTTCATAGCGCAGCACGCTAACCGTTGCACTACCGCTCCCCACTCACTCACAAACTTAATCGGAAGTATAGTATTTATCCAGCAATAACTAAGTTACCCGGCTTAGCTCAGGTCTCAGTAATCAAACATTAAGAGTAATGTCTCTGCTTTTTTATGTAATTAAGGTCTATCGTACCATATCGAGGCTTGGGGCTTTGGGTTGTTCTTTGTTTTTTATGTCTCTGCCTCTGCTCACATTCATTGACGATTTTTATGATTTTGGGCAAGCCCGTCTGAAGCTGCGTGACCAGGAATTGGAGCCATTTGCTGTTCAATTTGGCTTGTGACAGAAATTCACTCTGCCCCCATGCATTACATTACATAGCATCTTCATTAATTATGTAGTTTGAGAAGCTCACAATAGCCATATAAATAATTGCATTCGTTACAGTTAAAATGATACGCGCATTGATGCCTGGTTATAGTTAAGGGATCGTTCCCTGGTCAACCATGTTATATCTGCTGATGATCTGGAAATGGCTACTCAAGGAGATGGGGTTAGATAATCTCGTTCTGTGCCTGGATAATTCCATCACGAAAGGTGGCCTTGCGTATGTTCCACCAAAATAAATCACCTGCCGGGGAATTTCATGTCATACAACACTGTACCTGCTCAACTCTCCATGAGTAATCAGGGAGTTCTGCAAGTAATGGAGGAGCTCCCATACCTGGTTAATGTGTTCACGACCAGCTCTGGTTTGGCAGCCAAAGTCTCACTTTAAATTTGTCTAGCAGCATTCTTTCATTAGACTGTGTAACACTGTGTGTAAGCTGCCTGGACTTTTGCGCCATACAAAGCTGTGAGTGTCCATCACCAAGGTCTAGTCTGTCTGAGACCATCCCTCTCCCTGCCATACTGGCATCGCACCCGCCTCTCACTCTTCGTACTGTGGATGGTGGGCGCACAGGACGGTGCCACGCAGCCATTCCAGGCTGGGTCCAAATGGGTTACGTGGGTCACCGAGCCACCAGGCCTCATTCCACGAGTGATATCAATATACAATATCTGTAACGAGGCCCCCCAATAGACTGCCCCTGGAACTCTATCGGGCACGTCCCACTGAGGGAAGTCCCCGGGGCCCGGGCCAGGACTTGCTGGTGGGAATATGTCGCTTGGCTGATTTGGGAATGCCTGGGAATTCCCCAGGAAGATCCAGAGTCTGTCGCCAGGGAAAGGGAAGTCTGGACTGCCCTACTAAATGTGCTGCCGCTACACCCTCACCAAGACAAGAGGATTTAGAAATAAACGAACAAACAAAGCTGCGAGTCTTCTTGGCCACAGATATTACTCCTTTCTCTGTAGATGCAAAATATTAACTTATTTAAAGGACCGTCTGTTCTGGCTTATAATTAAGACTGGCCAGCCTATGATCCCCTCTATTGAACCAAACAAGATTGTATTATAACCTTACAGAGCCCTAAAATATCAGTACAGAATATAATCTGAGACTTTTGCAGGGGAGGCTGCATTGGTTGGGTCATGAATTCTGCATAAACAGACAGCATGCACAATCATCTTCTGTTAGTCCAGATGTTACGGGCTAAACGGGCATGGCATTGGCTAGAGAAGAGATTGGAGGATGTGGAGTTGATCAGACCTGCTGTCAAGATCGGCCTCTCGAAGATGCCCGTGACATATGCTGCAGGGGAGTTGGAGGTATTTGCTCTGCAACAACAATGAGGTTGGAGTAGCAACGATCACATGAATGGGTGGGAACGCTGGGTGCCTCAAATGCAGCAAGACAGCAGGAAAAACAGCTGGTGCATCTGTTAATCATCTTGGTCAGTCATCCCTTGACACCTGGATCATTATGACATGCTGACAAGTGATCCACACTTACATGGCATTCATGTGAAATATATGTGTATGTAAGAGTTTATCTATGTGGGGAGCGGTGGTGCAGTTTTTCCACTGTGTAACAAAAAAAAATGTCTTGTTCCTGGGTAGTATGTGTTATTTCCTAATTGCTTTTGCCTCTTAAGTACAAAAAATGGCTATTCCCCACAAACTTTGCTTTTGTGACCAGGACAGTGATATTTAGAAATGTACCTCTTTTCAATGAAAAAACAGGTGAATTTGTTATTTTCGTTCACGTACAATTCTGGTCACAAAAGCAAAATTTGTGGGGAATAATAGCCAATTTCTAGACTCTTAGGCATAAGCAATAGAAAAATAACACTTAGTACCCAGGAACAAAAATTGTGTTACATAGTGTTATCACAATTATCTCTGACAACAAAAGTTTGATTATCTCTGACAACAAACGTGATTGATTCATGAAAACTTAACTTATTGTGGGGAAGCATTAATAATGAGCATATGAAGGTGGCCAGGCATGGTTCTGAACACACCACCACCTTTTTTCCATGCCAGTGTGTGTTACAGTGTCAAGTTTGTATTTGCAGTAAAGTATATTAACTCGATTGAACACGGAGGTTAAATCAAAACAATAGTATATACTTTTTTTCCTCTGGAAATTTTTAGGAGAATGGAAACAGGAAATTAACACTGCACATATGAAGCTGAAGTTAGATCTGTTCATCCCAGCATTCAAGGAAATCTCAGCCTGGCTTCATGCCTCTAAGTTAGCGATTGAACATTAATTTATGCATTTCTGCATAATAAAAATAGTATTATTTTCAACACCCTTTTCTATGTTAGCTGCATTTTTCTTTCATAAATATTCTTTTTGTAGCCAGAAAACTGAAATTGTGTGCTTGGAGTTTTAGGTTAACATTCATTTTGAAGATACTAGGGCTTCCAGGTTGACCATTGGCCCTCTAATTGTGTGCCCGTGTGATGAATTTGGGAATCTTTTTCATATTATCATGAATATATGAATGAGTATAGACATGCAAGTCATGTGTGACTGTATATATGCATTCCTTTGTGCCTCAATACTGACGTAGATGGTGTGGATATTCTCTTTTTTTCTCTCTGCAGCTGACGCTTCCTCTGCAAAATTGGTTTGATGGAGCAAAGGCACTCAGTGCAGCTCGGTACAAAAAGGCAACAACGCGACCAGCGTGCATACAGCACGGATCGTGTTGGACTTTTAACACAGCACCGGAGAACACACACAGGAGAAAAACCCTTCAAGTGCAGTCTGTGCGCGAAGGCGTTTTCACGGTCATCTGCTCTTGTATTACATCAGAGAACACACACGGGAGAGAAACCCTTCAGTTGCACTCTGTGTGGGAAGGCGTTTGCACGTTCACAACATCTTAAAATACACCAGAGAACACACACGAGAGAGAAACCCTTCAGTTGCACTTTGTGTGGGAAGGCGTTTGCACATTCACAACATCTTAAAATACACCAGAGAACACACACGGGAGAGACACCCTTCAGTTGCACTCTGTGTGGGAAGGCGTTTGCACAATCACCATTTCTTAAATTACACCAGAGAACACACACTGGAGAGAAACCCTTCAAGTGCACTGTGTGTGACAAGGCATTTGCACAGTCATCAGGTCTTCATAGACACCAGAGAACACACACGGGAAAGAAACCCTTCAGTTGCACTCTGTGTGAGAAGGCATTTTCATATCCATCAGTTCTAAGGAACCACCGGAGAACACACACGGGAGATAAACCCTTCAAGTGCAGTGTGTGTGGGAAGGCATTTTCAGATTCATCTACTCTTAAACAACACCGAAGAACACACACAGGAGAAAAACCCTTCAAGTGCAGTCTGTGCGGGAAGGCGTTTTCACATTCATCTGCTCTTGGATTTCACCAGATAACTCACACAGGAGAGAAACCCTTCAAGTGCACTGTGTGTGGGAAGGCGTTTGCACATTCACAACATCTTAAATTACACCAGAGAACACACACGGGAGAGAAACCCTTCAAGTGCACTGTGTGTGGGAAGGCGTTTGCACATTCACAACATCTTAAATTACACCAGAGAACACACACGGGAGAAAAACCCTTCAAGTGCACTGTGTGTGACAAGGCATTTGCACAGTCTTCAGGTCTTCATAGACACCAGAGAACACACACGGGAGAGAAACCCTTCAGTTGCACTCTGTGTGGGAAGGCGTTTGCACAGTCATCAATTCTTAAAAGACACGAGAGGACACACAATCATCAGAAGATCCCCAAGAAATTGAGTCTGAAATCGGCTTGTGAAAGTCAAAGTGCTGCAATGAGCCCATCCCTCATGAAACCAGAAGTGAATCCCAGCTTGGACACTTTTAAAGGTATCAAGGTGAAATGTGAAGAGGCGAAGGTGAAATGTGAAGAAATGATGAAGAGCGAAGAAGTGAAGGTGAAATGTGAGAAAGTGATGGTGAAAAGCGAAAAAGTGACGGTAAACTGTGAAGATGAAGATTCAACTCCAAAATCGTACCTTCACATCGATGGAGGCAACGTGAAGCAGGAGGAGAATTCTGACTGCGAGGCAGAGCTTGGCAACTCCCAGCAGTTTGTGGAAGTGGAGGTGTGGGTGGACTTCTTAGACAATACAAAGTCAAATGGAGACCCGGTAGATGGGTAGGCTTGAGACAATGAAGCTCCAATAGATGCACCTTTGTCACAGGCCTTTAATGAAAAGAATGTGAATTTGAACACTGAATTCCTGGGTTCAACCTGCAGAGTAAGAGCGGCGAGTATTTGTTGACCTGTGGGTTGGGTAGATGAATAATCAGGAACAAGAGCCAATAAGCTTTCAAGTATTCCACTGTTATATTTATATTTGCATTGATATGGTGCTTGCTTAATTGCCTCAGCAACTCAGTTTCATATCTCATCACAAACGTTCGAAGAGCACCTTCAAGTGGCAGCTGCCTCTGTCATAAGGTGGGTGACACTGCTGTCACCTGCATGTGGGCATGAGTCTGTCAGTAGGGGGTGATGATTGATGTGTAATCTTCATTATGTAATTTCTGGATCATGTTTGAAATTGCCCAAATATTGACCATGACACCAACATGCAATGACCTATGCGTTTTGAATGACAATCGTATGTTTTACATCCACTGTTAAGCAGACGGTGCATATTTTGTTTAATGTTACTGGAGTAGCCAGATTGGAAACTTGAACCTCTGCAATAAATAGAGAATGTGCTACCACATGGCTTCCCTCAATCTGAGTGTAGGCATGACAGCCTGAATGTTTCTAACTGGCGCAGATGTTCCATTTAGAGGGGTCCACGTTTCACATGCCTACAGAAGGGAGGACAAAACTGGCCGAGAAGAACCGAAGCTTCGTGCGGAGCGACAGACCAGGTAGCTTCCACACAGCATAGCACAGCCGATGAAAAGATAATGCCGCCCGACTGATTCGGACCACCCACACACTGTACACACGCAGTGTTCCCACAAGGTCTACACACACCATGTACACAGCGTACACACAGTTTAACCACAGTATACAGTCTGTACACGCACAGTGTATACACACAGTAACAACAACCGCCATTCGCCACTAAGTGGCGGTGACGTCACCACGGCGCTTTTGCCAGGCTATGTGCATGGGGCAGATCCAGGTGTCATGGGTCGACTGACAGATGACTGGCCAATGCACCACCTGTGCCCCCGACTGCGCCAACAAAGTGTACACACAATGTTCACGCACACAGTAATGTTCACGTTGTTGTTGAGCTCACTCACCCAAGGGGTCTCTGTTCAAGAGAGGGAGCCATAGAAATGGAATCTAAAACAGGACCCTGCGGGGTGGCCTGGTAGGAATAATAATTAGTAACCGGGAGGAGCGATGCACGCCAGAGGCTCCAAGTCCCCGCCCTTTAGCAACGCGCCCTGCTTAAGTGGTGAGGGCGGCGTGTGGTGATCGTGGTGATTGTGGGTGGCCGAGGAGTCGTGTGGACGCCGCTGTGTCGACTGTCCCCCGTCTTCAACTACTTGGGGGCGAAGTGGTCGTTTGCAGACTTCTCGGCGACCGACTTCAGCGAGGAGGCGCTTTTATCTCAGCGACGCCATCAAATCGAGGACGCCGTGACGAAAAAACGCAGCGATTTTCGCGCGCAGTTGACAGCCCCCCCCCCCAACACCACCCTCAACACCACCCCTCCCACCAGCCCTCACCACCCCCCCACCACCCCCCACCACCACCCAACCCCACCACCACCCCCCACCACCACCTTCTGCACCAGGCCTCGCGAAGCCTCCCGCACTAGGCCTCGCTAAGCCTCCCGCACTAGGCCTCGCGAAGCCTGCCGCACTAGGCCTCGCGAAGCCTGCCGCACTAGGCCTCGCGAAGCCTCCTGCACTAGGCCTCGCGAAGCCTCCTGCACTAGGCCTCGCGAAGCCTTCTCTGCAGTAGGCCTCGCGAAGCCTTCTCTGCAGTAGGCCTCGCGATGCCTTCTCTGCAGTAGGCCTCGCGAAGCCTGCCACACTAGGCCTCGTGAAGCCTTCTGCACTAGGCCTCGCGAAGCCTTCTCTGCACTAGGCCTCGCGAAGCCTTGTCTGCAGTAGGCCTCGCGAAGCCTTCCCTGCAGTAGGCCTCGCGAAGCCTTCCCTGCAGTAGGCCTCGCGAAGCCTTCTCTGCAGTAGGCTTCGCGATGCCTTTTCTGCAGTAGGCCTCGCAAAGCCTTCTGCACTAGGCCTCGCGAAGCCTTCTCTGCAGTCGGCCTCGCGAAGCCTTCCCTGCAGTAGGCCTCGCGAAGCCTTCTCTGCAGTAGGCCTCGCGATGCCTTTTCTGCAGTAGGCCTCGCGAAGCCTGCCGCACTAGGCCTCGCGAAGCCTTCCGCAGTAGGCCTAGCGAAGCATTCTCTGCAGTAGGCCTCGCGAAGCCTTCCCTGCAGTAGGCCTCGCGATGCCTTTTCTGCAGTAGGCCTCGCAAATGAGGCGATTAAATGTATCTCGTGTCTGTGTTAATATAAATGTATCTTGTCTCTGTGTTAAAAAAACGTGCTGCGTTTCAGTAAAGTAAATTTGAAGCGAAGTTTAAAGTTTCGCCGTGAGGCGCTGGAAGTGACGGCCATCTTGTTTAGTTCACAGATCGCAGGGGGAGCGGGCGGCCATCTTGTCGGACAGACGGACGGACGGACACATTAATCTATTGGTGTTCTGGTTCACTTCGTTCCTACCAGTATAAACTTAAACTCTAATCCTGATCTCGCTCTCTGACGTCACCACTCATTAACTTGCCGTGATGCGCGAGGGGGAGGTGTCCCCACTAGTGACGTCATGTCACCGAGGTATTTACCCCCTCCAACGTGATTTTGAGCGTGACGTCACGTCTGCCGACTTTCCGTTCCAGTACAATGCTTATTTGGGACAGGGATAGCATCCAAGCACCATCACCTGACATGGGCCCCTCTCATTAACATAATATATTCAGTTACCCTGCTGCTCCTTGGGGGAGAGATTGTGTAAACCCCGCTAGTGACGTCATGTCACCTCCTGCTGCCGCATGACGTCACGAGTTCCCAGGTAGCTGCTGCTCCGCGCACGCTCACTGAGATCCGAGGTGAGAAGTTTACATCGTGGTGGTCGTTGTTGTTGTGGTGGTGATTGTTGTTGTGGTTGTTGTTGTGAACCCAGGTAGAGCCTCGCTCCTTCTCCCTCGTAGGGATATCAATTGAGTAGCAGCGAGTATGGAATGGATGTCCAGGTTGGAACATTACAACGCGGGGCCTAGCCATGCGGGGACTTGCCTCCTGCCCTCGCCTGATTGCATTTGCTTTAATTCTCTGCTTAAGTTTAATTTGTCTTCACCTGGCTCACTACTTTGAAACTTTGTTCTATTTTAAATATGTCTACTATTTTACTTTACCAGGCATAGCCCACTTGAGCTACACCGCTCTTTTTCAGACGCGACCTGCCCACAACGCAGTGGACTTATCAACGTGTGGAAATGTTTATCGGTCAAATACTCTAAACGCGTGGTGATGTTGACTCTAAATGTGCAGGGAAAACCGCAGGATCCGGAGGGGAATCCACGCGACCACGGAGAGAGAGGGACACGCAAACTCCAAATATACAGCCATAATACAGGTTTGTTTGGGATTGATCGCGTAAATAAATCAATGTGCCGTTAACCCCGCCACCACCCGACACAGCCAATTAGTAAGAGGTTTGTCACGTAAACAGAACGTGGCCAATGCGTCACTAGTACAGCACTAGTGTGTAATGTAGTGTATAGTGTAGTGTGTAGTAGTGTATAGTGTAGTGCATAGTAGTGTAGTGTGTAGTGTATACTAGTGTTTGGTGTAGTGTATAATAAGCACGTGTGCTGTTTCATTCAGACGCTGTTGCCTCGACAGACCTGGTTTTCACCTGAGGACGGCTGCTTGCGTTGTGGCCGAAACGTCGTGAGAATTGTTTTATTTTTATTATTTTATTACTTCCCTTCTACGTGACTTTACCGAAAGAACCAAGAAGATGAATCCCTGCAGTTACGAAAGCTTTAAATCGAAATGTAGTGTACTAGTACAGCATATCAGTGTGTTGGAGAGCCAAGCCACAACATTTACCATCTGAGTACAACGTTTTGACAGTAATTACAACCAGATTCATCAGGCGACAGCCAAATGTTGTGGCTTGATTCTGGGAATATGAATCGGCTCACTTGGTTCATAGCGCAGCACGCTAAATGTTCCACTACCACTCCCCACTCACGCACAAACTTAATTGGACGTATAGTATTTATCCAGTAATAACTAAGTTACTCGGCTTAGCTCAGTTCTCAGTAATCAAACATTAAGAGTAATGTCTTGCCATGCTGGCTTTATTAGAATTATTGAATTCTGCCAATGAAATCCATAAATGTGTGTATATCGTCACGGTTTTTAGGTTGTGTTATACAATCGCAGGGCTTGTTTTTTCATAATGAGGACAGCTTTAAAATGTGTTGCCCTTGGAGAGCTTCAGGATAGACAACGTTGTATGTTTTTCCATCTGGTAGGTTTAATCAAATGATGCTTCCATTTTGGCATACATGTCGACAGCAAATTTGTGGAAGAGCTCTTTGCATCTCAAGAAGAGATTGAAGTTGCCATTCGCACCATTATCCTGAAGGCAAAGCAGTCCATGGCGGAAATCTTCTTTTGTGTTGGCAAGCCTGTTGCTGGGTCAGTTTGACCATGTGGAGTTTAGTTTGCATGGATGACAACATTGTACTCTGAAGTAATCTTCTCCATGGCACACTTGAAACTGTGATTGTAAGAGTTTTCCTTATGGAGCATGTCTTGCAATAGGACTGGCATCTTGGTGTTGATGACATTTTTGCAATGCTGGTGAGCATGTCTGGTATTGTCAGAGATGCAAGTAGATCTGTGGTAATGTAGGTAGGTTATTAGGTAGTGGCAGCAGACTGCCAATGAGATTATGTACCTGGCCCTGAACTTGAAATGTGGGCATGTAGCCAGATGTTAGGATGAGTTGCTCGATGCCAGAACATGATTATTTGGAACCATGAGTTATATCTTATATTGTTGTTTCGGAAATGGCTTGTCAGGTATCAATACATAAATAGGCTCGGTATGGTCATTAAATGTAGGCAGCTGAACCATGGTACTGTTGCAGCATAGCCCTAGAGTGTCTCCTTTCCATATCATTGCATGGCAGTAGCTGCAAGAAGTAGACATTGAACCAGTGGCATCTAATGGATCAGAAGTGTAAATGAAGTGAGGAATGTATGGAAAAAAAATGCTTATCTTTGTGGCTGCAGGGTAGGCACCTGGTTGCAGCCATTGTCGTACTGTTTGCAAGCTGCCGTGCTTGTTGGCGGACTGGAGTTTGATTAGCTGTGGCAGCAGCCATTTGTGCTGTGTTAGTTTTGTGTAGCCTATTGCTGTTGATGAGATGCATTCACTATTGGTGCAGTCATAGCAGCACTGGCAGCATGCCGTCTTGCTTCTTGGGTGTTCAGAAGTGTCCTCAATAGATGCAGCCATGGCAGCACTTGTACGAATGGCATCAGTTATTGTAATCAGCTTTGGTGAAGAAAAGTGCGCGTTTTCTGCAAGGAACGTTATAGGTGGAGGTAAAAATTAGTAAGCAGAATAAGCATAAATAGTGAGTGTGTGAGTGAATGCTGTGGTGAGATTGTTAATGAACTGATAGTTGAATGTGTAATCGTTGTAGGAATGTGAAGACAAAGCTGCAGAGGAATGAAGTATAAGGATGTAAGTTGTTGAAGGGAGTAATTGTTTGCAGTGCTTGAAGTGGGTATGAATAGTATGTGTTTGGTGGTGCTGACAAGTGATCCACACTTACATGGCATTCATGTGAAATGTATGTGTAGTGAGTTCATCTGAGTCGCAGATGTACACTTGGAGGCAACACATTTATTTAACACCAACACACGGGGTAACTGCCCCTTAACAGAATAACAACCTATGGTGGTGACCACCAGGCTAACTACACTAATTACAACGTAAATATCTATGACGGACAGGCTCGGGTCCAGGTCCACTTGTTGGAGACTCGGTGGAACGTAGAACGTATACGAAGGTTTCTTCAGGATGAACAACAACGCCGGTCCCTCTGGGGGACCCGCCTTATATTCTCTGCGGTGTGGCTGGCTCCACCCTTGGCCACGACCACCTTCCAGAATCTTCGAGCAGGATCTGGACCCCAACCACGTGACCACCCCTAGCCCCCACTTGGGGCCCCTTTGTAGACTTAACTGGTCACGTGTCCTCTAGGTCAACAAGAGTGCCATGGCCTTTAGTAACCTCATTCCTACGGCTGGCACTCCCACACCCTATCCTGTAGGGCCGGTACTACACGCCAAGCGTGGTGCCATCCAGCGATATCAATCAGCGCTCACGGAGCCCCTCTAGGGCCGGTACTACACCCACCATCGTGGTATCCGTGATGTCGTTACACCGCACGCCGTGCCTCTCTAGGGCCGGCACTACACAGTAACATCCTGCTATGTCACTACATCTGTAAGAGTTTATTTACGTGGGGAGCGGTGGCGCAGTTATTACACTGTGTAACAACAAAAATTGTTCCTGGGTAGTGTTATTTCCTAATTGCCTATGCCTCAAAAGTACAGAAAATTGCTATTATACCCAACAAACTTTGCTTTTGTGACCAGGATATTGATATTTAGAAATTTACCTATTTTCAAAACGGGCCTGGTTACAAAAGCAAAGTTTGTGGGGAATAATAGCGATTTTCTATACTTTTTAGGCATGAGCAATAAAAAAATAACACTTAATACCATGAACAAAAATTGTGTTTCATAGTGTTGTAATGCGGGCGTAAATGGCCTCGCGGATGTGACGTCACGGGGGGAGGAGTTAGGTCACGTGGGAGAGAGGGATCAAGTCTTAAGGGGGAGAAACCGGAAGAGCAGGGGGGAGAGTTGGAGAGAGATAGAGAGTGAGGCCACGCAGGGCGGAGGTTGGAGGGTGGCGAGATCGCCACACAACCCAGGATAAGACTCGGCACCGTCGGCCAGCGGTGACCGAGCACGGAGGAACGGGGAGCCGGTTGAGGCTGCAGTGAGGGCAGCCGGAGGCCTGCACGAGGAGATCAGCAGCGGAGCTGCATCAGAGTGGAGTGAGAGGCTACGGGAGCGACGGCAGCATCGGGCTGCCAAGCGGGGGAGTTTCGGAGAGAGAGCCGTGTGGGACAAGTCTAAAGAACCCGAATAAAGGACAACGAAGACAGACACAGTGGTCGAGTCCTTTATTACAGTGTTATCACTGTATTATGAACTCAATAATTAGATTTTGATTATCGCCGACAACAAACGTGATTGATAAGTGAAAACTTCACTTCTTGTGGGTCTCGGCTATGTTGATTGATCCTCAATTAATTACTTGGTGAAGTGAGAGAAGCATTAATACTGAGCAGATGAAGGTGGCCATGCATGGTTCTGGACACACCACCACCTTTTTACCATGCCAATGTGTGACAGTGTAAAGTTTGTATTTGCAGTTAAGTATATTAACTCTTTTGAACACGTAGGTTAAATCAAAACAATAGTTTATTTTAGTTTTCCTTTGGGGCTTTTTATAATAATGGAAACGGGAAGTTAACACAGCACATATGCAGCTGAAGTTAGATCTGTTCATCCCAGCATTCAAGGAAATCTGAGCCTGGCTTCATACCTCTAAGTAAGCGATTGAACATTAATCTATGCATTTCTGCATAATACAAATAGTATTATTTTCAACACCCTTTGCTATGTTAGCTGCATTTTTTTTTATAAATATTCCTTTTGTAGCCAGACAACTGAAATTGTGTGCTTGGAGTTTTGGGTTAACATTCATTTATTAAATTAAAGGGCTTCCAGGCATATTTCTGACCATTTGTCCTTTCATCGTGTGTCATAACAGCCATGTGATTAATTTGGGAATCTTTTTCACTATATCATGAATATATGAATAAGTATAGACGTGTAAGTATGTGTGACTGTATATATGCATTCCTCTGTGCCTCGATACTGACGTAGATGGTGTGGATATTCTTTTTTTCTGTCTGCAGCTGACGCTTCCTCCGCAGAATAGATCTGATGGAGCAAAGGCACTCGGCGCAGCTCGGTACAAAAAGGCAACAACGCGACCAGTGTGCATATAGCACGGATCGTCCTGAACATTTGACACAGCACCAGATAACTCACACAGGAGATAAACCCTTCAAGTGCACGGTGTGTGACAAGGCATTTCCATGGTCATCAGATCTTCATAGACACCAGAGAACACACACGGGAGAGAAACCCTTCAGGTGCACTTTGTGCGAGAAGGCGTTTGCTGAGTCAACACATCTTAAACTACACCAGAGAACACACACGGGAGAGAAACCTTTCAAGTGCACTGTCTGTGAGAAGGCATTTGCATGGTTATCATGTCTTAATTGCCACAAGAGAACACACACAGGAGAGAAACTCTTCATGTGCACTCTGTGCGGGAAGGCGTTTTCTGAGTCATCACATCTTAAACTACACCAGAGAACACACACGGGAGAGAAACCCTTCAGGTGCACTGTGTGCGGGAAGGCGTTTGCAGGTTTATCAAATCTTAAAACACACCAGAGGAGATACAATCATCAGAACATCCCCAAGAAATTGAGTCTGAAATCGGCTTGTGAAAGTCAAAGTGCTGCAATGAGCCCATCCCTCATGAAACCAGAAGTGAATCCCAGCTTGGACACTTTTAAAGGTATCAAGGTGAAATGTGAAGAGGCGAAGGTGAAATGTGAAGAAGTGATGAAGAGCGAAGAAGTGAAGGTGAAATGTGAAGTGATGGTGAAGAGCGAAAAAGTGACGGTAAACTGTGAAGATGAAGATTCAACTCCAAAATCGTACCTTCACATCGATGGAGGCAGCGTGAAGCAGGAGGAGAATTCTGACTGCGAGGCAGAGCTTGGCAACTCCCAGCAGTTTGTGGAAGTGGAGGTGTGGGTGGACTTCCTAGACAATACAAAGTCAAATGGAGACCCGGTAGATGGGTAGGCTTGAGACAATGAAGCTCCAATAGATGCACCTTTGTCACAGGCCTTTAATGAAAAGAACGTGAATTTGAACACTGAATTCCTGGGTTCAACCTGCAGAGTAAGAGCGGCGAGTATTTGTTGACCTGTGGTTGGGTAGATGAATAATCAGGAACAAGAGCCAATAAGCTTCCAAGTATTCCACTGTTATATTTATATTTGCATTGATATGGTGCTTGCTTAATTGCCTCAGCAACTCAGTTTCATATCTCATCACAAACGTTCGAAGAGCACCTTCAAGTGGCAGCTGCCTCTGTCATAAGGTGGGTGACACTGCTGTCACCTGCATGTGGGCATGAGTCTGTCAGTAGGGGGTGATGATTGATGTGTAATCTTCATGTAATTTCTGGATCATGTTTGAAATTGCCCAAATATTGACCATGACACCAATGCGTTTTGAATGACAATCGTATGTTTTACATCCACTGTTAAGCAGACGGTGCATATTTTGTTTAATGTTACTGGAGTAGCCAGATTTGAACCTTGAACCTCTGCAATAAATAGAGAATGTGCTACCACATGGCTTCCCTCAATCTGAGTGTAGGCATGACAGCCTGAATGTTTCTAACTGGCGCAGATGTTCCATTTAGAGGGGTCCACGTTTCACATGCCTACAAAAGGGAGGGCAAAACTGGCCGAGAAGAACCGAAGCTTCATGCGGAGTGACAGACCAGGTAGCTTCCACACAGCATAGCGCAGCCGATGAAAAGATAATGCCGCCCGACTGATTCGGACCACCCACACATTGTACACACGCAGTGTTCCCACAATGTCTACACACACCATGTACACAGCGTACACACAGTTTACCCACAGTATACAGTCATTACACGCACAGTGTATACACACAGTAACAACAACCGCCATTCGCCACTAAGTGGCGGTGACATCACCACGGCGCTTTTTCCAGGCTATGTGCACGGGGCAGATCCAGGTGTCATGGGTCGACTGACAGATGACTGGCCAATGCACCACCTGTGCCCCCGACTGCGCCAACAAAGTGTACACACAATGTTCACGCACACAGTAATGTTCACGTTGTTGAGCTCACTCACCCAAGGGGTCTCTGTTCAAGAGAGGGAGCCATAGAAATGGAATCTAAAACAGGACCCTGCGGGGTGGGCTGGTAGGAATAATAATTAGTAACCGGGAGGAGCGATGCGCGCCAGAGGCTCCAAGTCCCCGCCCTCTACCCCGCCCCTTAGCAACGCGCCCTGCTTAAGTGGTGAGGGCGGCGTGTGGTGATCGTGGTGATCGTGGGTGGCCGAGGAGTCGTGTGGACGCCGCTGTGTCGACTGTCCCCCGTCTTCAACTACTTGGGGGCGAAGTGGTCGTTTGCAGACTTCTCGGCGACCGACTTCAGCGAGGAGGCGCTTTTATCTCAGCGACGCCATCAAATCGACGACGCCGTGACGAAAAAACGCAGCGATTTTCGCAGGAGCCGACGACTTGGTGATGCGCAGTTGACAGCCCCCCCCCCCCCCCAACACCACCCTCAACACCACCCCTCCCACCAGCCCTTACCACCCCCCCACCACCCCCCACCACCACCTGCACCAGGCCTCGCGAAGCCTCCTACACTAGGCCTCGCGAAGCCTTCTCTGCAGTAGGCCTCGCGATGCCTTCTCTGCAGTAGGCCTCGCGAAGCCTGCCACACTAGGCCTCACGAAGCCTTCTGCACTAGGCCTCGCGAAGCCTTCTCTGCACTAGGCCTCGCGAAGCCTTCTCTGCAGTAGGCCTCGCGAAGCCTTCCCTGCAGTAGGCCTCGCGAAGCCTTCTCTGCAGTAGGCCTCGCGAAGCCTGCCGCACTAGGCCTCACGAAGCCTGCCGCACTAGGCCTCGCAAAGCCTTCTGCAGTAGGCCTCGCGAAGCCTTCCCTTTAGTAGGCCTCGCGACGCATTCTCTGCAGTAGGCCTCGCGAAGCCTTCCCTGCAGTAGGCCTCGCGAAGCCTTCCCTGCAGTAGGCCTTGCGATGCCTTTCTGCAGTAGGCCTCGCAAATAAGGCGATTAAATGTATCTCGTGTCTGTGTTAATATAAATGTATCTTGTCTCTGTGTTAAAAAAAACGTGCTGCGTTTCAGTAAAGTAAATTTGAAGCGAAGTTTAAAGTTTCGCCGTGAGGCGCTGGAAGCGACGGCCATCTTGTTTAGTTCACAGATCGCAGGGGGAGCGGGCGGTCATCTTGTCGGACAGACGGACGGACGGACACATTAATATATTGGTGGTCTGGTCCACTTCGTTCCTACCAGTATAAACTTAAACTCTAATCCTGATCTCGCTCTCTGACGTCACCACTCATTAACTTGCCGTGATGCGCGAGGGGGAGGTGTCCCCACTAGTGACGTCATGTCACCGAGGTATTTACCCCCTCCAACGTGATTTTGAGCGTGACGTCACGTCTGCCGACTTTCCGTTCCAGTACAATGCTTATTTGGGACAGGGATAGCAGCCAAGCACCATCACCTGACATGGGCCCCTCTCATTAACATAATATATTCAGTTACCCTGCTGCTCGTTGGGGGAGGGGATTGTGTGAACCCCGCAAGTGACGTCATGTCACCTGCTGCTGCCGCATGACGTCACGAGTTACCAGGTAGCTGTTGCTCCGCGCACGCTCGCTCACTGAGATCCGAGGTGAGAAGTTTACATCGTGGTGGTCGTTGTTGTTGTGAACCCAGGTAGAGCCTCGCTCCTTCTCCCTGTCGTAGGGATATCAATTGAGTAGCAGCGAGTACGGAATCGATGTCCAGGTTGAAACATTACAACGCGGGGCCTAGCCATGCGGGGCCTTGCCTCCTGCCCTCGCCTGATTGCATTTGCTTTATTTCTCTGCTTAAGTTTAATTTGTCTTCACCTGGCTCACTAGTTTGAAACTTTGTTTTTACTTTCAATATTTCTACGTTTTTTTTATTTTACCAGGCATAGGCCACTTGAGCTACACCGCTCGTTTTCGGAAGCGACCTGCCCACAAAACAGTGGGCTTATCAACGTGTGGAAATCGTCTTGGTTCTTTCGGTAAAGTCACGTAGAAGGGAAGTAATACAATAATAAAAATAAAACATAATAAAATAATTCTCACGACGTTTCGGCCACAACGCAAGCAGCCGTCCTCAGGTGAAAACCAGGTGTCGACAGACCTGGTTTTCACCTGAGGGACGGGTGCTTGCGTTGTGGCCGAAACCTTCGTGAGAATTATTTTGTTTTATTTTGATTAGTTTATTACTTCCCTTCTACGTGACTTTACCGAAAGAACCAAGAAGATGAATCCCTGCAGTCACGAAAGCTTTAAATCGAATTTTTACGTGTGGAAATGTTTATCGGTCAAATACTCTAAACGCGTGGTGATGTTGACTCTAAATGTGCAGTGAAAACCGCAGGATTCGGAGGAAAATCCACGCGACCACGGAGAGAGAGGGACACGCAAACGCCAAATATACAGCCATAATACAGGTTTGTTTGTGTGAGATCGTGTAAATAAATAAATGTGTCGTTCACCCCGCTACCACCCGATACATCCAATTAATAAGGGGTTTGTCACGTAAACAGAACGTGGCCAATGCGTCACTAGTACAGCACTAGTGTGTAGTGTATAATACTGTAGTGTATAGTAGTGTGTAGTGTATAGTGTAGTGTACTAGTACAGCACATCGGTGTGTTGAAGAGCCAAGCCACACCATTTACAATCTGAGTACAACGTTTTGAAACTATTTCCAACCAGCTTCATCAGACGACAGCCACATGTTGTGGCTTGGCTCTGTGGGAATAGAAATCGGCTCGTTGGGTTAATAGCGCAGCACGCTAACCGTTGCACTACCGCTCCCCACTCACGCACAAACTTTATCGGAAGTATAGTATCCAGTAATAACTAAGTTTCCCGGCTTAGCTCAGGTCTCGGTAATCAAACATTAAAAGTAATGTCTTGCCATGCTGGCTTTATTAGAATAATTTAATTCTGCCAAAGAAAGCTGTAAATGTGTATATTGTCACGGTTTTGTGGTTGTGTTATACAATAGCGGGGCTTGTTTGTTTCATGAGGACAGCTTTTAAATACGTTGCCCTTGGAGAGCTTCAGGATGGACAATGTTGGATTTTTGCCATCTGGTGGTGTTGGCACAATTTGGTTCCCAAAAAAACGTTCATATGCACACAGTTTGCTTCATTTATATAGATTATATATATGCTCCAAGCTCGTGTGCTGTTTCATTCAGACTCTGTCGCCTCGACGGACCTGGTTTTCACCTGAGGACGGCTGCTTGCGTTGTGGCCGAAACGTCGTGAGAATAATTTTATTATGTTTTATTTTTATTATTTTATTATTATTTATCTTTATACGTGACTTAACCGAAAGAACCAAAGAGTGATCAGGCAGTTCTACATGTGGTGGAGGAGCTCCCATGCCTGGTTAATGTGTTCACGACCAGCTCTGGTTTGGCAGCCAAAGTCTCACTTTAAATTTGTCTAGCAGCATTCTTTCATTAGACTGTGTAACACTGTGTGGAAGCTGCCTGGACTTTTGCGCCATACAAAGCTGTGAGTGTCCATCACCAAGGTCTAGTCTGTCTGAGACCATCCCTCTCCCTGCCATACTGGCATCGCACCCGCCTCTCACTCTTCGTACTGTGGATGGTGGGCGCACAGGACGGTGCCACGTAGCCATTCCAGGCTGGGTCCAAATGGGTTACGTGGGTCACTGAGCCACCAGGCCTCATTCCACGACTGATATCAATATACAATATCTGTAACGAGGCCCCCCAATAGACTGCCCCTGGAACTCTATCGGGCACGTCCCACTGAGGGAAGTCCCCGGGGCCCGGGCCAGGACATAATGGTGGGAATGTCGCTTGGCTGGCTTGGGAACGCCTGGGAATTCCCCAGGAAGATCCAGAGGCTGTCGCAAGGGAAAGGGAGGTCTGGACTGCCCTACTGAATGTACTGCCGCTACAACCCTCACCATGACAAGAGGATTTAGAAATAAACGAACAAAGCTGCGAGTCTTCTTGGCCACAGATATTACTCCTTTCTCTGTAGATGCAAAATATTAACTTAATTAAAGGACCGTCTGTTCTGGCTTATATTAAGACTGGCCAGTCTATGATCCCCTCTATTGAACCAAACAAGATTGTATTATAACCTTACTTAGCCCTAAAATATCAGTACAAAATATAATCTGAGACTTTGGAAGGGGAGGCTGCATTGGTTGGGTCATGAATTCCGCATAAACAGCATGCACAATCATCTTCTGTTAGTCCAGATGTTACGGGCTAAACGGGCATGGCATTGGCTAGAGAAGAGATTGGAGGATGTGGAGTTGATCAGACCTGCTGTCAAGATCGGCCTCTCGAAGAGGCCCGTGACATATGCTGCAGGGGAGTTGGAGGTATTTGCTCTGCAACAACAATGAGGTTGGAGTAGCAACGATCACATGAATGGGTGGAACGCTGGGTGCCTCAAATGCAGCAAGACAGCAGGAAAAACAGCTGGTGCATCTGTTAATCATCTCAGTCAGTCATCCCTTGACACCTGGATCATTCTCATGACATGCTGACAAGTGATCCACACTTACATGGCATTCATGTGAAATATATGTGTATGTAAGAGTTTATCTATGTGGGGAGCGGTGGCGCAGTTTTTCCACTGTGTAACAAAAACAAATGTCTTGTTCCTGGGTAGTATGTGTTATTTCCTAATTGCTTTTGCCTCTTAAGTACAAAAAATGGCTATTCCCCACAAACTTTGCTTTTGTGACCAGGACAGTGATATTTAGAAATGTACCTCTTTTCAATGAAAAAACAGGTGAATTTGTTATTTTCGTTCACGTACAATTCTGGTCACAAAAGCAACATTTGTGGGGAATAATAGCCAATTTCTAGACTCTTAGGCATAAGCAATAAAAAAATAACACTTAGTACCCAGGAACAAAAATTGTGTTACATAGTGTTATCACAATTAAAGTTTGATTATCTCTGACAACAAACGTGATTGATTCGTGAAAACTTAACTTATTGTGGGGAAGCATTAATAATGAGCATATGAAGGTGGCCAGGCATGGTTCTGAACACACCACCACCTTTTTTCCATGCCAGTGTGTGTTACAGTGTCAAGTTTGTATTTGCTGTAAAGTATATTAACTCGATTGAACACGGAGGTTAAATCAAAACAATAGTATATACTTTTTGTCCTCTGGAAATTTTTAGGAGAATGGAAACAGGAAATTAACACTGCACATATGCAGCTGAAGTTAGATCTGTTCATCCCAGCATTCAAGGAAATCTGAGCCTGGCTTCATGCCTCTAAGTTAGCGATTGAACATTAATTTATGCATTTCTGCATAATAAAAATAGTATTATTTTCAACACCCTTTGCTATGTTAGCTGCATTTTTCTTTTATAAATATTCCTTTTGTAGCCAGAAAACTGAAATTGTGTGCTTGGAGTTTTAGGTTAACATTCATTTTGAAGATACTAGGGCTTCCAGGTTGACCATTGGCCCTCTAATTGTGTGCCCGTGTGATGAATTTGGGAATCTTTTTCATATTATCATGAATATATGAATGAGTATAGACATGTAAGTCATGTGTGACTGTATATATGCATTCCTTTGTGCCTCAATACTGACGTAGATGGTGTGGATATTCTCTTTTTTCTGTCTGCAGCTGACACTTCCTCTGCAGAATTGGTTTTATGGAACAAAGGCACTCAGCGCAGCTCGGTACAAAAAGGCAACAACGCGACCAGCGTGCATACAGCACGGATCGTGTTGGACATTTAACACAGCACCAGAGAACTCGCACAGGAGAGAAACCCTTCAAGTGCACTGTGTGTGACAAGGCATTTTCATATCCATCAGTTCTAAGGAACCACCAGAGAACACACACAGAAGAAAAACCCTTCAAGTGCAGTGTGTGTGGGAAGGCATTTTCACATTCATCTGCTCTTAAAAAACACCGGAGAACACACACAGGAGAAAAACCCTTCAAGTGCAGTCTGTGCGCGAAGGCATTTTCACAGTCATCTGCTCTTGTATTACATCAGAGAACACACACGGGAGAGAAACCCTTCAGTTGCACTCTGTGTGGGAAGGCGTTTGCATGTTCACAACATCTTAAAATACACCAGAGAACACACACAGGAGAGAAACCCTTCAAGTGCACTGTGTGTGGGAAGGCATTTTCAGATAAATCTCCTCTTAAAAAACACCGGATAACACACACGGGAGAGAAACTCTTCAGGTGCAGTCTGTGCGGGAAGGCGTTTTCACAGTCATCTGGTCTTGTATCGCACCAGAGAACACACACGGGAGATAAACCCTTCAAGTGCAGTGTGTGTGGGAAGGCATTTTCAGATAAATCTCCTCTTAAAAAACACCGGATAACACACACGGGAGAGAAACTCTTCAGGTGCAGTCTGTGCGGGAAGGCGTTTTCACAGTCATCTGCTCTTGTATTACATCAGAGAACTCACACGAGAGAGAAACCCTTTAGTTGCACTTTGTGTGGGAAGGCGTTTGCACATTCACAACATCTTAAAATACACCAGAGAACACACACGGGAGAGAAACCCTTCAGTTGCACTCTGTGTGGGAAGGCGTTTGCACAATCACCATATCTTAAATTACACCAGAGAACACACACTGGAGAGAAACCTTTCAAGTGCACTGTGTGTGGGAAGGCGTTTGCACATTCACAACATCTTCAATTACACCAGAGAACACACACGGGAGAGAAACCCTTCAAGTGCACTCTGTGTGGGAAGACGTTTGCACAGTCATCAGGTCTTCATAGACACCAGAGAACACACACGGGAGAGAAACCCTTCAGTTGCACTCTGTGTGGGAAGGCGTTTGCACAGTCATCAATTCTTAAAAGACACCAGAGGACGCACAAGCATCAGAAGATCCCCAATAAATGGAGTCTGAAATTGGCTTGTGAAAGTCAAAGTGCTGCAATGAGCCCATCCCTCATGAAACCAGAAGTGAATCCCAGCTTGGACACTTTTAAAGGTATCAAGGTGAAATGTGAAGAGGCGAAGGTGAAATGTGAAGAAGTGATGAAGAGCGAAGAAGTGAAGGTGAAATGTGAAGTGATTTTGAAGAGAAAAAAAGTGACGGTAAACTGTGAAGATGAAGATTCACCTCCAAAATCGTACCTTCACATCGATGGAGGCAACGTGAAGCAGGAGGAGAATTCTGACTGCGAGGCAGAGCTAGGCAACTCCCAGCAGTTTGTGGAAGTGGAGGTGTGGGTGGACTTCTTAGACAATACAAAGTCAAATGGAGACCCGGTAGATGGGTAGGCTTGAGACAATGAAGCTCCAATAGATGCACCTTTGTCACAGGCCTTTAATGAAAAGAACGTGAATTTGAACACTGAATTCCTGGGTTCAACTTGCAGAGTAAGAGCGGCGAGTATTTGTTGACCTGTAGGTTGGGTAGATGAATAATCGGGAGCAAGAGCCAATAAGCTTCCAAGTATTCCACTGTTATATTTATATTTGCATTGATATGGTGCTTGCTTAATTGCCTCAGCAACTCAGTTTCATATCTCATCACAAACACTCGAAGAGCAGCTTAAAGTGGCAGCTGCCTCTGTGTCATAAGTTGACCCTGCTGTCGCCTGCATGTGGGCATGAGTCTGTCAGTAGGGGGTGGTGATTGATGTGTAATCTTCATTATGTAATTTCTGGATAATGTTTGAAATTGCCCAAATATTGACCATGACACCAACATGCAATGACCTATGCGTTTTGAATGACACAATCGTATGTTTTACATCCACTGTTAAGCAGACGGTGCATATTTTGTTTAAAGTTACTGGAGTAGCCAGACGTGCCTGTCGGATTTGAACCTTGAACCTCTGCAATAAATAGAGAATGTGCTACCACTTGGCTTCCCTCAATCTGAGTGTAGGCATGACAGCCTGAATGTTTCTAACTGGCGCAGATGTTCCATTTAGAGGGGTCCACGTTTCACATGCCTACAGAAGGGAGGGCAAAACTGGCCGAGAAGAACCGACGCTTCTTGCGGAGCGACAGACCAGGTAGCTTCCACACAGCATAGCGCAGCTGATGAAAAGATAATGCCGCCCGACTGATTCGGACCACACTGTACACACGCTGTGTACCCACAAGGTCTACACACACACCATGTACACAGCGTACACACAGTTTACCCACACAGTATACAGTCTGTACACACACTGTATACACACACAGTAACAACCGCCATTCGCCACTAAGTGGCGGTGACGTCACCACGGCGCTTGTGCCAGGCTATGTGCACAGAGCAGATCCAGGTGTCATGGGTCGACTGACTTAAATGACTGGCCAATGCACCACCTGTGCCCCCGACTGCGCCAACAAACAGTGTACACACACAATGTTCACGCACACAGTAATGTTCACGTTGTTGTTGAGCTCACGCACCCAGTGGGTGGGTGTTAAAGAGAGGGAGCCATAGAAATGGAATCTAAATAAACTTAAACTCTAACCCTGATCTCGCTCTCTGACGTCACCACTCATTAACTTGGCGTGATGCGCGAGGGGGAGGTGGCCCCCACTAGTGACGTCATGTAACGGAGGTATTTACTTCCCCCCCCCCCACCGAGATTTTGAGCGTGACGTCACGTCTACCGAATTCCGTTCCAGTAAAATGCTTATTTGGGACGAGGTCAGCAGCCAAGCACCATCACCTGACATGGGCCCCTCTCATTAACATAATTTATTCAATTACCCTGCTGCTCGTTGGAGGAGGGGATTGTGTGAACCCCGCAAGTGACGTCATGTCACCTCATGCTGCCGCATGACGTCATGAGCTACCAGGTTGCTGCTGCTGCGCGTACGCTCGCTCACTGCGATCCGAGGTGAGATGTTTACATCGTGGTGGTTGTTGTTGTTGTTGTGGTGATTGTTGTTGTAGTTGTTGTTGTGAACCCAGGTGGAGCCTCGCTCCTTCTCCCTCGTAGGGATATCAATTGAGTAGCAGCGAGTATGGAATCGATGTCCAGATTGAAAAATTACAACGCGGGGCCTAGCCATACGGGGCCTTGCCTCCTGCCCTCGCCTGATTGCATTTGCTTTAATTCTCTGCTTAAGTTTAATTTGTCTTCACCTGGCTCACTACTTTGAAACTTTGTTTTTACTTTAAATATTTCTACTTTTTATTTTATTTTACCAGGCATAGGCCACTTGAGCTACATCGCTCGTTTTCAGAAGCGACCTGCCCACAACACATGGGGGCTTATCAGCGTGTGAAAATCGTCTTGGTTCTTTCGGTAAAGTCACGTAGAAGGGAAGTAAGAAAATAATAAAAATAAATCAATAAAATAATTCTCACGACGTTTCGGCCACAACGCAAGCAGCCGTCCTCAGGTGAAAACCAGGTGTCGACAGACCTGGTTTTCACCTGAGGGACGGGTGCTTGCGTTGTGGCCGAAACCTTCGTGAGAATTATTTTATTATGTTTTATTTTGATTAGTTTATTACTTCCCTTCTACGTGACTTTACCGAAAGAACCAAGAAGATGAATCCCTGCAGTCACGAAAGCTTTAAATCGAATTTTTACTTGTGGAAATGTTTATCGGTCAAATACTGTAAACGCGTGGTGATGTTGACTCTAAATGTGCAGTGAAAACCGCAGGATTCGGAGGAAAATCCACGCGACCACGGAGAGAGAGGGACACGCAAACGCCAAATATACAGCCATAATACAGGTTTGTTTGTGTGAGATCGCGTAAATAAATAAATGTGTCGTTCACCCCGTTAAAACCCGATACATCCAATTAATAAGGGGTTTGTCACGTAAACAGAACGTGGCCAATGCGTCACTAGTACAGCACTAGTGTGTAGTGTATAATACTGTAGTGTATAGTAGTGTGTAGTGTATAGTGTAGTGTACTAGTACAGCACATCGGTGTGTTGAAGAGCCAAGCCACAACATTTACAATCTGAGTACAACGTTTTGAAACTATTTCCAACCAGCTTCATCAGACGACAGCCACATGTTGTGGCTTGGCTCTGTGGGAATAGAAATCGGCTCGTTGGGTTAATAGCGCAGCACGCTAACCGTTGCACTACCGCTCCCCACTCACGCACAAACTTTATCGGAAGTATAGTATCCAGTAATAACTAAGTTTCCCGGCTTAGCTCAGGTCTCGGTAATCAAACATTAAAAGTAATGTCTTGCCATGCTGGCTTTATTAGAATAATTTAATTCTGCCAAAGAAAGCTGTAAATGTGTATATTGTCACGGTTTTGTGGTTGTGTTATACAATAGCGGGGCTTGTTTGTTTCATGAGGACAGCTTTTAAATACGTTGCCCTTGGATAGCTTCAGGATAGACAATGTTGGATTTTTGCCATCTGGTGGTGTTGGCACAATTTGGTTCCCAAAAAAACGTTCATGTGCACAAAGTTTGCTTTATTTATATAGATTTTTCCCATATTTTGTCTTGTGTATGGTTTCTCAATGTTCATTTTAATTGTTTAGTTTTCTTATTTTCCTTTTACCTCATGCCATTATTTAGGTAAGGCTTAAGTATTGAATATCGCACTTTTGGCTTTGCGAGGCACTTTCCCAGATCGTAACCTCTATATTCAAGGGGCTGAGGAGTGCCGATTTTCAGCAGAAACTATATCTCTGCTTTATTGATGCAATTAAGGCATATAGTACCATATAGAGGCTTGGGGCTTTGGGTTCTTTGTTTTTTACGTCTCTGCCTCTGCTCACATTCTTTGATGATTTTTATGATTTTGGGAAAGCCCGTCTAAAGCTGCGTGACCAGGAGTCGGAGTCATTTCCTGTTCAACTTGGCTTGTGACAAAAATTCACTCTGGCCCCATGCATTACATTACAGAGCATCTTAAATAATTATGTCGTTTGAGAAGCTCTCAATGGCCATAGAAATAAATAGCATTTGTTACGGTTAAAATGATACGCGCATCGATGCCTGGTTATAGTTAAGGGATCGTTCCTTGGTCAACCATGTTATATCTGCTGATGATCTGGAAATGGCTACTTAATGAGATGGGGTTAGATAATCTTGTTCTGTGCCTGGATAATTCCATCATGAAAGGTGGCCTTGCGTATGTTCCACCAAAATAAATCACCTGCCTGGGAATTTCATGTCATACAACACTGTACCTGCTCAACTCTCCATGAGTAATCAGGCATTTCTACAAGTGGTGGAGGAGTTCCCATGCCTGGTTAATGTGTTCACGACCAGCTCTGGTTTGGCAGCCAAAGTCTCACTTTAAATTTGTCTAGCAGCATTCTTTCATTAGACTGTGTAAAACTGTGTGGAAGCTAAATTTCGATTTAAAGCTTTCGTGACTGCAGGGATTCATCGTCTTGGTTCTTTCGGTAAAGTCACGTAGAAGGGAAGTAATAAAATAATAAAAATAAAACATAATAAAACAATTCTCACGACGTTTCGGCCACAACGCAAGCAGCCGTCCTCAGGCGAAGAATGAAACACCTCTAACCCAGCTTAAATATATGCTCCAAGCTTGGTGGTGTTTCATTCTTCGCCTGAGGACGGCTGCTTGCGTTGTGGCCGAAACGTCGTGAGAATTGTTTTATTATGTTTTATTTTTATTATTTTATTACTTCCCTTCTACGTGACTTTACCGAAAGAACCAAGAAGATGTGTGGAAGCTGCCTGGACTTTTGCGCCATACAAAGCTGTGAGTGTCCATCACCAAGGTCTAGTCTGTCTGAGACCATCCCTCTCCCTGCCATACTGGCATCGCACCCGCCTCTCACTCGTCGTACTGTGGATGGTGGGCGCACAGGACGGTGCCACGCAGCCATTCCAGGCTGGGTCCAAATGGGTTATGTGGGTCACCGAGCCACCAGG